CATCCGATTACTTCGAGTCGTTATTACTCCATCAGTAACGTACGTTGTTGAGAGGAGAAAACGACTCGAAGCAATCGGATGAATTTCAGGCTAAGGTTAATATAGAATGTAGGAATTTTCTGAAGGATTTTAGTTCTGTTGGTCCTGTAGTTTAGCAGCTGTTATTGTCTCAATGAGGCTAAACAACAAATGTATAATAAAACAGCTTAGTGATTTATGGTCCTATCAATTTACTTTTTCACAGGAAATGGAACTCTGATTGGTGCATCAGCTAATGTCGTGTGCGCCGGGCTCGCAGAACAGTATGGATATCCAATCACCTTCAACAAGTTTTTCAAGTAAAGTTCTCTTTTTCAGAATTTACATTATCACAGTAACACTAGTTGTCATAGTTTAATGGGATTTAGTTCCCTTCTGCAGCAACGTAAGGAGCGCGTTCCCTAATGTAGTTTCAGAAGCAGAAAAAAAATTGTCAGGCCATTTTCACGATGACGACATTTGATTACAACTGCCAGGATTCATTTCGTTTTGCTTTCTAATTTAACCGTTTGAGATTTAAAAAAACAGTAACTCTAATAGGCCATTTCCGAGTACCAAAACCTCTCACTTTCAAAACGAGGCCTAGTACAAAACCTTTGTTGTGAACATGATTTTTATTTGCATGAGAATGAAACATCATTTTCATATCAATAGCTTTGCACTTAGCCTCGCATTGAAACAGAGGCTTGATGCAATGAGCAAATAAGCCGATGAAAGCAACAAACTGAAGGCTTCTGGAAGTCGTAGTAACATGACATCATCGTGCAAACTGCAATTCTCCTTTAGCACGAGAATATCCAACTCGGCTTGCGCTTTTTGGGACAGCCGCTGACATGACGTTGGCGAAGAGAGATTGCAAGACAGAAAGATTGAGTCAAACCCTTACACTGAAATGCAACCAAGTAGAGATGAAAAGAGAAACACACCCCCCCCTCCCCCAACCCCTCGCCCACCAAGCAACGCGAATTTACCTCTGCAATAATCTGATCTTATTTTATCTTTTATTGATCAATCTGACTGTTTTCTCTGCAGGGTCGGGTTTGTCATTATGCTTGCAACGACGTTTACAGCAATGATATATCTCTTGATTTCCCAAGTTTTGCCGCGAGAATGTGACTAAATGTCCTGAAAGTCCTTAAAGGGCAAAACTGATGACACTCCAGTTAAAAAATCAGGGTGCGTCGTAGTTGACATCACCAAGCGGCTGCTATGGATTAGCATATACAGCTATCCTGGCCTGTTCCAGGCGTTAAGTTAGTTGGGAGTGGCGCGAAGTAAAAAAAGGCCGCGAAAAAGTATGAAAACGAGGGAGGGGGGAGAGAGCAAGAGAGGTTTCCCTCTCCACTATCCCAGTCCCCCTTTTATTTTCCTCACTTTCTTTTCTTCGCGCCGCTTTCAACTATCTGAACGCCTGGAACAGGTTACCTAACCATACTCAGTAGTGGTTATCGCTCTAGATGAATACTGATTCAACAGTAAAAAAAGAAAAACTAGATTTGGGACTACGGAAATCACTTCAAAATCAACTTTAATTTAACTTTTTATATGCAAACATATTTATGAGCATTCACTATAAAGATACGTAAAAGAAGAAAAAATAAGCTCAGGAACCAGGGACCTCCGAATTACAAGCCCGGCGTACTGCCTGGTGGGTCATGCTAAATGCCTCGTTTCATAAGAGATGATATGCTAAGTGAGGAAATATTCTTAAATTAATTATGAGTAATTAGTTAGCAAAATAAGCAATTATTCAATAGTTGCGCGCAAATACAAACAGTGACTAAAGTTAAATAGGGTAGTAAAATTTACAAATTCTAAAGTAAAGTTGCCTCAAATTACATCAAGTCACAAACGCAAACAATCGATGCAATAAGAATCCCAAATTTAGGGTGCTCTTCCTCAATAAAAACGAATCTGATTCATTAATACAACTAGAAATATCCTAAAGCGCGAAAGTAACCTGAGATCAGGCTCTATTTTCGTGTCGCTTTGAAAATGACATTCCGACGGGTAGAGAATGTATCAGAACCGCTAAAATTGGGCCTGATCTCAGGTTAGCGCGAAAGGTGTGGCTGGGCACGGGTTTGCTATGTAAATAGCAAAAGATTCCTCGCATAAAAGTTACGTAAAGCTGCTGATATATTTTACTGAGAAAAACGTGAAAATCAGAGAGATGTGTAAGGAAAAGAACTGAGTATAGGGTTAACTACCGAAGTATAAGGGCTTCGTACTTTTTTAAAACGGTGAGCTTTCATATAATGGGATGAAAATGACATGTAAAGTACCCTTAAAATAGCCGATGTCGGTAGTCAGCGTAGTGGATGCAGAACAGTATGGATTGTGATTGGGAGTCAAAGGTGTAATGCTGTCCTTGTTAGAGCTTTTGAATTTTTACCCCCTGAAGTTAATAATTTCAGTTTTGACGTTGAATTTCCAACTTGGAAATTTTTATTGAGGATTTTTTAAATTTTAATACATTTTTAGTCGGACACGACCCTAGCTGGTATACAAGCTTAAAATCTCAACTGCTACTTTCAAAAATGCCTAGACAGATTTCTATCTAAAAGAAGCAAAAAAAATGAAACGATAATGAAAATAAAAACAATTAAAAGACTGTGGTTTAGAGAAGAAATCCTTTCTTCAGTCCTCCGAAATTTGATTTCTTCTTTTTCGTTTGTGTTTGAGGGTTTGTGGGATTTTCTAGTTTCTCTGGTTCATCTTTTCTGCTTGTCCGAATTGCGTTTTCTACCACGGGTTCTTTTCCCGCGGCGTGATTAGAAGCATCACCCAGAACTTTCGTCATCTGCGCTCTTGCGGGTTCTGTAACGTTGCTCATGCTGTCTTGAATATTTCCATCAGTTTTTGAAGTTTCACTTACATGCTCATGGTTGGTATCTTGGACCTCCCTATCGGCGCCGCTCTGTTGTAATATATAAGACAATTAGTGCTATGAGGTATAGACCTTATTCACGATCCCCGCCATCTTTGTGCGCGTTATGGGATAGAACCAATGTCACGTCGTTTTTCTTGGGGAAAACAAGTGGAAAAAATTTGCCAATACAAGAAATCGTGGTCGAGTTTGTTTATTTTTAGACAACAGAAAATGAAGAACGGTTTTTTATCTTGGAAGACAATAATGGTAAATTTTGGGTGGAATTAAGTGGTCGTTGTTATTTTCTGAATGCAGTAGTGACTGTAGATGTGTCCTCACAGAAAGTAATAATGACGTGAAACTTGTCGAAACTTGAACTGAAGATTTTACAAGTTTATAATTGCCGTATCATTGAGAAGATAAGCGTGACAGTGCTTTTATCCCATCAGCCCTTGAGCACGCGCGAGCAAAGATGGCGGGTACCGTGAATAAGGTCTATTGATCAGGCCTCAGTTGCTCCAAGGCTGGATAGCGTTATCCACTGGACAAATCTCTATCGAGTGGATAGTAAAATTATTTTCCCTACTAATACTTATCCCGCTGGATGGTGATTTATCCGGTGGATGGTGCTAGGCTCTTTGTGAAAAATGCGCGTGAAACAAAAAGCCTATCGTCTTCATTTTTATCAAAAGAACATCACTTTATGCGATCAATAATAATCATAGTTAACTGGAAGATTTCCTATTGGTTAGTAGGTGATCATATGCGCATTTGAGTCATCACCGCGTTGTTTGCTCTTGTGGTTTGCTCTGAGTAGCTTTGCGACTCTAGTTTTTTTTTGCCTTCTTTTAATTTGGTCCCCTCCCACTCTCCTCTTGGTTTCTTGAAGCTCCTGCGTTAAGTTAAGTTCTTTCCAAGTGTTTATTCTGTGATCAGACTAAAAAGTGCCATGCCAGGAGTAGGTAACCCGTAAGAGGTTGTCAAGGTTACCACCTTGTTGCAGCCTTTCACTGCCTTATCGCCTACGTTGCTCTTAACTGACACCTAACCTCCACTTAAAAATTACTTATCGACAACTTAACCAAGCCTAACGCTTTTGAAAGCCATTTTACTTGACTTCTATGGGTAAAACATCACTTTCAAATTTCCTTTCAGAGATGTTGAGATTTTTTGTGCAACCCTCTGCAATTACCTGGCTTGCGCTGCTATTTTCTTCGCTGTTTCTGCTAACATATTTCCTGTACAGATAATATCCAGCTCCTGCGACCATCCCAAGGCCAAGACATGTTACAAAGATATCCTTAAATTTTCCCATCACTTTTTTGTTATTTGTAACTGAAGAACAATGAAATAGGCTTCTGCGCTCTGCTCTCAGCAAACTTTAAGGTAATTAATCTGTTTGTGATGTAGACGTGACGTCCCAAATTGTTTAATTTGCATATTTCTTAGCCCAGTCCGGGCCTTCAAAGGAAAAGGGAACGCGAGATAAAACGGCAAGGACTGAGGAGAGCCAGGGAAGGCACCCTTTCTCTCTCCCTTCCTTCCCCTGTCTTATTTTTCCTCATTTTCGTCCAGGAGGCCTGAGTACGAGGACCAGGAGTCTCTGGGGACACAGGACTTGAAGTCCTAGATTCTAGCACTTCCGGTCATTTCTGCCTTTTTGTAGAATCCTCCAACTTAGTTTTGAATCGGAAATGACCGTAAGTCCTAAAATCTAGGACTTCAAATCCTATGTCCCTGGAGCCTCCTGATCCTCGTGCTCAGGCCCTGAGGAGGCTCTGGGGAAGAGAATGATATTTCCGGGATATTTCCCCGCTCGCTCTTCCTTTTATACCTCTCTGAGGGCCAGGATTTCCAAAAAGCCACAAACTTGATCCGGCTTCTCAGTCACTGGTTGGCTGGGGTGGCCTCAAAAAGAATTTTGCCTTAGTTTGGTCTAAGGCTCCTCCCCTGGATCCGTCACTGATCACACACTGAAAATTCATTCTGTAAAACCACGAGACCACGCAATCAACAAAAGTTGGCTAGCGGTACTCTGTATCAATGTATGCACTGTCAGCACGTGACTCTAAATATTAAACAAAAAATGGCGGCGGACAAGTACTTTGAGGGAATACGTGCAGAAAGTCTTTGCTTTTTTTGGCGATAAATGAAGGCAACCAAGATGTTGCCGCGTCTTACAATACCTCAGGCTTATTTCTTTTCTATACGACTCTCGCATAACTTTCGAAGAGCGCTTTAACAGACGGCGATGACCTCTACACCGGAGAGTTCGTCAGTCCCGAGTCAGGGAGATCTGTTCTCCTTACTCGATGCGGACAACAAACATACTGTGGAAGAAACCAAGGCGCTGATTCACGAAAATCTTCATTCGTCTCGTGATCCAGGACTTTTGAACTCCATGGTGGAGTTCTATTTAAAGACTCGCTCGCAAGCCTGTCTGCAGATACTGAGTGGAATTCACGAAGCTCGTGCGCAGGTATTTGTAACGTTACTATCCCTCCGAAAGATGATACTTATAGCCATCGATCGTTCCCCTTTTGATCCGTAGTTGGCGATCTGTTTCCCAGCGTTATGATCTTATACTTATAGTTCTTCTGTTTTTCATTCAGGCGTTGTTTGAGATAATGAACGAGTGTCTTAAGCAAAAACACACTCGCTTGGACACATTGACCCTATCTGGTCATATCGTGCGGAAACAGGTAAACTATTTAAAATACTCAATTAATTTCTATTTCTCGTGATATACGAATCTGCACGCCTTATTTCAGGAACAAGTGGTAAAATCAAGCTTTGCACCATGTTGCCATCATTGCTCACACGTGCTGCCATGCTTCACAGATTCACGAAGCGGATTATCCAGACACTGACGGTTTCCTCTGTTTGTCGTTGATTGAACTTCTTTGCAGCATGGGTTTCGGCCGACTTTGGAATATTTATTAGCAAAATGCATTTAAATGTTACGCATTTCTATAAGTAAAGCAATGTGCAACATTAAATTGTTGTTTTATGTTATTATTATTGAGTACTCATTGTGCAACATTTGACCTGTGACTTTTGTCAAAAGTAGAGAGCTATTTCAACCCCACAGAAGTCACGTATAAGCGTAAATTAGATAGTGGGGTGTGGTGTGTGAAGTTGATGCAATATTGATCAAATATCCATTTCTTGTTTTCATAGTATGAAAAGGCCTCTTCAACATATATATCCTCAAACACAATGAACTAGCTACTAAGTGTGCAGCCAAGTTTTATGTACATGTAGCTCTGTTCATGGTGTTTCAGCAGATGATGGAACACCCTCTATTGTCTTTGATATAGTTTCTTAAGTTGTTTTTTTTGTTGGAGAAATTCCAAAAACCAAAATATTGGCCATAATGCCAAGGATTCAAGGATCAGACCATTTTCATGGCTACAATTTTCTTGTATAATGAACTCTTGCTAATAAAGATTTTTAGAACTGCGTAAGTCAAGGAAACACTGTTTTTATTATGTATCAAACAAGGTGAACAGGGAGCATATAGTCAAACCACCAGTGAATTTTGTGTATATTATGATGGTAAACACAGAAGATTAGTTGACATAAGTTACTTAACCCTTTAAGCCCCAGTACCCCACATACAAATTCTCCAAACTGATCTCCATACATTTCCTCAAAGAATTAGTTGAGAGAATTTGATAATAGATCAAGGCATTTTCTCTTCGGTGATCATTTTATTTATTCTCATTACTTATCTCTTGACAGTATATGGATATTGTTAGGAGAAAATTGATCTTGGTCACTATTGGGATTAAAAGGGTTTAAGGACTTTTTTTGGTTTGTGGGTGGTGTCAGTACTGTGTTTAAGTGCACGTATGTTTCTACATGCATGCACATTGAGTGTCTTTAAAATGTCATAGCAAGAAGAGATTAGGTGAATGAAGCCACTAGCTATAACAACTGTCTTAGTCTCTGTTAACCTTTTACAGCCTTCCTGGTTGTACAAGATAATCAAGACTCCTTTCTTTGAAACTCTCCTGAAGGTTATGAAGGTAAAGGATTGATATTATAAATATTTACCTTGGTGATCATATGGCGGGATCAAGTAATATTAAAGATTCCTTTCTGTATTAGGAAACTGTTAATGAAAATGTACAAATGTGGAAATAATAAATCCCATTTTTGGTGGCACTTATGTCCATGTCCATGTATAATTTATTTATTAGATTTTTGTTACCAAGAGGGGACCCACCAAGTTTTGTATGGAAGGGGAAAGTACCCCCCACCCCCCCCCCAAAAAAATACCCCCTTTTATTTCCCTTGTCAAAGAAAGCAAAATATTTATTTTCAAGCTACAGTTCTGTATACTGAATATGTTTCCAACTCTTTTTTGTTTGCATTGTACATAAGTTAACCTTGGACACAAGAGCAAAAAAAAATTTATTACTATTAAATGTTTCTACAGGCTGACAATGATGTAGTGGTTTTAACAAGTGGCATTTTAACGATAACTACCCTCTTACCGCTGGTACCAGCCTCAATTGGACACTGCTTGCAAGACTTGTTTGACATTTTTACCAGGCTCTCGTCATTCAGAGCTCGTCGACAAGGTATTCTTCTTCCAGAATACAATCAATCAAACCCATCCAAAAGAACCATGCTTAGAACCCTCTTAACCTTTTTTTCTCCTTTTAGGTAATGCACCTGAAGTGTACCTTCTCTACCTGCATGTTGCTGTTTATATGTTTTTTCACCGATTGTATGCCATGTACCCAAACAACTTCTTGGCGTATCTCAGGGCACTGTGCAATGAGCCATCTAAATGGAATATCTTTCAGAACACTATCAAGGTAAGGTGCAGTCTTACAGCTTTTGAACATTGATCAAAAACCTTAAGCGTGGCAATAATCGATTATGGAAAATGTTCAACTAATGATCATGAAAAAATAAATAAAAATTTCCTGTTCATTTCCTCTGAGGAATTTTTTGTGATTGTAATATCTGTTGATGATCATATGGCTGGTCTATCTGATTATTTTTGATGATCCATTCTGAAATCTTAGCTTATTTTAAAAGGACACCTGCACATACCAAAACCTGTTTTTGGTTGAGTAATGGGGTGTTGCTTTTTTGGGGGAATTCACTTGAGATGCACCTCATTATTTTGTGAAACAATAATATTAAGGAGACTTGCTCAAATTTTAACCAATTTGCCTCTAACATTGCCTCTAGAACATGCCAAGTTACTAAAGATATTTTATTGACACTTTTAGCCGATGCTGGAACATGTACGACTTCATCCCTGTGTGATAACAGAGACAGCACATACAGAAACAGAAAAACACAGGTAAATGAAGACCATAAAATAATGATCTAATAGATGCCCAGTGCATCTATTTAACTTTAGGGGTCCAAGCGGGGGAGCAGATGGGAGGGGTTCAAAAGAGAGAGATGTGTATTCTTATAACTTTAACAAGCTCAACAAAGCTACGTGTTTTTGGTGAAAATATCAAGAGTGTTTTAAAAATAGAAGAACATCCATTCCATCAATATTGATATCTCTAGGCCATTAAGAGATCAATATCACTCTTTCAAATCCCAACATCAATGTCAGAATCCTTGCTTAGGGCTATTGTGTTGCCATCGTTAGTCTATACTCTGAACGTGACATTGAACAGGATGAAATATGCAAAGCCTTGTTAATTAAGCAAGAAACTGAACGAATTGAATAATTTTGCTCCTTTTCCCTACAGTGTAATTCCTAGTATTTTGGAGTAATTTTCATGGAGGAGGATGGTTCTTTTGGACGGGATGTTTTTACTAGAGAGGGGTTTCTAATACATTTTAACAGCATAGATGGGGCATTTGTTAGATAAGAGGCCTCTATGTGGATGTGGGCGACTATCAGGTCATTTACAGTAGTAGAATTTGGCTCTGCTGTTTGGGAGATCTTTAAAGTGTGATCGCATTAGCTTGGGAGCCATAAAAAGCAGAGAACTGCATGAAAAGGGGTAATTATTAGTACTTCCCTTAATACTCTGTAGATACAGCCTGTAGTAATAAGGCCCGGTTAGGGTAAAATCCCTACGACTAAGTGACATGGCCTTGAAGCAGTGACATAAGACAGATGAAATGGCAACAAACGACACAAACATGGGTTGAAACTGTGACAGCAGTGAGAAAAATCACAAAGTGGTACCTGCACAGTGACATGGCCTCCTCTTCAATATGTGAAACGACTGACTGCGTTTGAAACTCAGAATAGGGACATATGTACCCAACGCCCCCCCCCCCTCACCTAAGAAGGCCTCAGTTGTGGAACTGTTTATGAACAGTATTGTTGTGTACTTTATCTCAGGTGGAGACAGAAAGAGCCCCATGATATTGTTATAGAGTGCATGAAAGTCTCGTTGGATCCAATCGACAGGATACAGGAGAAAGGAACATTTTTGTTGTCATCATCATCCAGACATAGTCTTCAGGAACTTTTAGCTGATAAATCCAGCAGCTCTAATTTCACAGCATCGAGTGAAAGTCAAGGACAGGAAACTGTGAGATCACGGGAGCGTCGCATGTCAGACTCGGCAACGCAGACTGGCAAATCACTACAGAGTGGTGACAGTGGAATAGACTCTTGTAATACTCCAGTTATTTTGTCAGACAAAATTATGACGGGGTGGAGCCCATCAGAAGTGTGTCAGCTTAGTACCCCACCTTCCTCACAAATGTCTCCATCAACCAGCAACCCTGACCTGTGGAGCTCAGTGAATATTCACTCTCATTGCAGTACGCCAGGAGCCACAGTTACTCCAGAGCAATCACCAACATCATCGATGAGTGGGGACATAGGCCATCAGCATGGATGCTCAAGTTCACCTTCCATGTTTGGGAGTAAAGTAAGAGCTGGTGTTTCAGTAGGGATGTCTAGTGGCAGGGGGACTCCAGTTAGGGGCGCTAAAACCTCCAGTCACGAGGGACAGTTAACAAACGCTTTGTCTTCTGCTTTAGCACAGCACAGTCATGAATCAGCTGCTGAAGCTCTTGATGAGCACCAAACCTCAACCCCAAAAGATGTGGCAAAGAGAGAGGAAGGGAAAAGAATTGAAACTTCAGTGGAGGAAGTGCCCCATGGTACATTTACTATTTCCTCCTCAACAAGTGTTTCAAGTACTCTTGAAGGCCATAATAAAGAAATAAAAGACCACCATGAGATACCTAATGCAGGGCATTTGGACAGTAGTAAAATCTCACCGAAAGAAGAGTACAGAGACTTAAGTGAGCATGAGTTTTTTCCCTTGGAATTAAGTGAACACAAGGCCCTTGAATCGCATCAGGGTAACATTACTACTGATTGGTTGCCGGATTCTTTCACACCTGTTTTGACTCCAGTGGCTGGGCAATCTCTGGACACTGTGACGTTAAAGAACTCACCCCATGTAAAAGATGCCTCTTTGTCAACAGAACCAGAGGAATCTCAACATTCTGCACAGCAATCTGGATTTGATTCTGATGGACTGTTGCATAGCAAACACCATCAGGATTATGATGCCAGTACTAAAGGGCATGAAAGCATAGAAGCTAATAAGAGTGAAACCAGCTTCGCATCTGATGAAATATCCTTAGACTCATCAAAATTCCATGGCACTGTTCCTCATGATGCAACACAAAATCACCACCAGTCGTTAGCAGACTTGATCCCCTCATTTCCTCAGCTGTTGCCATTGTTTAGAGGTGAACAGAAATGTGCTGTGGGCAGTTGCATGACTCATGAAGATGACGCAAGTTTATCTAGACCTCAGCAGCATTTGTTGTCAAGCGCACCAAGCCCTGTGGAAATCCTTGATAGCTACCTCAAAACAGGAAGCAGTTTGCACTATGGCGAGCTCTCCAGGTAGGTACTCTTTATGTCAGTGGCCAAAATTATTCTAGAGATGAATTATCCATCTAAAGAATAATTTGTCTGAGTATAAATCTGAGAAATGAATTTAGATGAATCTTAGGTGTAAACTTGGTTTGCTTGTGGATGCCATCTTAAACATCTCATATCCCAAGAAACCTTGTGAATAAATAGATCCTAGCCACTCTAAAGTCAAAACTAAGCAGAAACCCATCTTTTTTTCCCTTCTAGATTTAAATTTAGAGATCTGTCTGAGACTAATTATTCCTCGGTCAGCATGTCATTACAGACATGCAGACAGATTCATCAATTTGGATGCAAAATTCATCTAAACAATGGATTTATTCATGTATCTAGACAATTTATCTGTCTAAGATGGATAATTCCTGTTAGATGGATAATTCGTCTCTGTTATAAAGTTGGCCAGTCAAATGGTGTTTGTTGTCTCTATATTGTCACTACAGTCTCCTACTATTAGGGAGCTTATATAATCACCATGGCAACAACAGCTAACACGTGGCTATTTAAAAGACTTTTTTTAAAACTTTGTTGTGATTTAATTACGACTCACCTAAACATGTTAAATGTATTTGAATTTCCCTGGAACTGAATTATTGCTGACTGAACCCAAGTTTAGAAGGATCTACATGTAGAAAGATTCTAAAATTGAGGTTTTGGATGTAGCAAAGTTTATCCTGTTTTGTTATTATTGTTCCACAGGGTGCCTCTTGTTAGTCACGCTGATACTGCTTGGACACATTATGGAGGTAAGCCTGTTGAACGTTTGTAGACAAAGCTTTGTGTAGTTGCACCTATTTAATATGCTTTTAATAGCTTAATTTTAAATTTAGATTTATTAAAGGACATTTGACCCTTTTTGGGGTTACTCTAAGATAAACTCAGTCAACTCTGGCCGTATCTCCCAGGGGATTTTGGAGGCCTACTCTTCCACCTTTGGGAAAAGTTTGAACATTTGAAGCACGAAAGTGAATGGATGCTTTCTAAATTTTCCAAATTTGCCATAAAGCACCCCTGCTTAATAGGGAGTGACTAAAATGGGTAACATTGTTACCCGCTAAGTGGCTTAACTGGAAAACATCATACTGTATTCAAGAAGCAAGAATGTTTCTCACGTGGCTTAATGAGAGTATCTTTCATCTATCATTTCTCATTTTTTCCATCTTTTTTTTTGCCAAGATTGTTTCTTTGTAGCTAAACAGGGAAACATTCTGATTTGCAACAAAGTTTCAATCTGCCAGGGTATTTTTCTGCTTTAGCCAACCCATAAAGAGAGTTGATCTGCTGCACTACCATATGGTTATCTCAGTAGGCAGTGCAAAAGTTATTTTAAAGGAACAGATTGTTAACCTAATGGGCCAATTTCGATACTTGGCTCTAATCACATCAAAGTTCAGGGGTGAATATAGTTGGTCTATTGACTACAGTGTGATTGTAATGTGCATTTGTGTTATTAATTCAGGTGAGCCTCCAGTAGATGAAGTGGAGATCATGCGAGGGCAAGTCAAGTTACTTCATAACCAGCTACTGTTTGAGCGACACAAATGTGACTTGCATGCTATTCGTAACAGGCGACTCATCGGCAAGACATTCAAGGCTGTACAACATCAAGAAGAGCTGCTAGCAACTGTGAGTGTGCTATCTGGTGTCAATTTAATAAAACTTTTACAAGTGTAGCCCTTGTTTTAGAGTCCGACAACAACTTGTAATTTACACTAACTTGTAAACATTTTATTAAATTGACCTCTGGTTTGATAAACATCTCACCTCTCCATACATGGGAAGTGTCAGTTTATTTCTTACATGCACTGACATCAAAGCTGAGTTATGCTAATTATGAAAAATCATGTACTGCCTAATTCTTTTATGCAAGTAACGCATAACTATAAATTCATTGCTTGAGGTAAAGAAATTGGATATTTTGAGGATCAAACTAGAAGTCACCAGAGTAAAATTGTAAACTAGTAACCTAAAGGTTACATAAATCTATTATTATCATTATTTGTTAATTATTACCACACAAGATTTAAATGGAGCTGTCTAATAAAAAAAACACAATGCACTGACATCAAAGCTGAGTTTTGCTAATTATGAAAAATCATGTACTGCCTAATTCTTTTATGCAAGTAACACATAACTATAAATTTGTTGCTTGAGGTAAAGAAATTGGATATTTTGAGGATCAAACTAGAAGTCACCAGAGTAAATTGTAAACTTAACCTAAAGGTTACCTAAATCCATTATTATTATTATTTTTTTATTACCTCACAAGATTTAAATGAAGCTGTCTAATAAAAAAGATAATTATCATTATTATTATTATTAATTTATTGTTTAAAAAGTATTATTATTTAACGAAGCAAAAGCAGAATATTAATAAAGTGGTGGCTTTCCTTGTTTATTGTGTCATTGTGGAATTTTTTATTTAAAAATGATGTTGTCATATGACTCTCAGGTACATGTCACAGGACCTCTTAGGTCAAGCTGGCCTTATACATATTTACACTGTTTTTTCCTCCATGTCTCTTATATGGGAACAGAAAGATCAACTCAGGCTTCAAGAGGATAAAATGAGAGAATTGACTGATGCCCTTAATAAACAAGTAGAAGAAAACAGGTATAGTAATTATGACACACAATTAACTAAAAGTACTTGTCAAGTATTTAAAGAACTTCTTTAAGAACAGCCTTTGCTTATTCCTTTTAAACTTTGTACTCACTGTGTACTTTGCCCAGATGTCAGCTCTGTACTTCTACAGTGTATGCATTCCAAAGTAATAATGTTTTGGAGGCTTGTTTTGATTTATAAATTACAGGACACACTATTGTTAGCTGCCACTGTCTGATCAATGTGTTGCTGTAAATGGAAAAATGATACCATTCAGTGTTTTTTTAAGCTTGCTGATTTATGATGATTATATAATACATGTACCAGACCCCCTCCAGCCTCCACCTTTCGTTACTACATGTACAATGTAACACCTTCCCCTGCTGGGACTAAATTTTGAAAACTGTTATGTTTTGATGTGTCCGCCAATAAAAATTACTTCCACTGAGGCGGTCAAAATGTCTTTGACCTTGTTTTCTTTTGTCACCTACTGTCTTCAAATGAACAAGTTTTTTTTTTCATTTTTTTTAGATATAGATAATAAAAGATGTAATAAAAATTGATTGTAAGCCACTTTCACGCAACTTTGATGTTTTTCATTTTTTTTGTTTTGTTTTTTCGGGGGTAGGGTTAGGTTTTTTGTCACAAATTCTCCTGTCTTATAAAAATGGGAAGATTAAAAAAAACATAATTCAGCAAAGCCAAAATATCAAAATAAAACCCACTGCAAGGGGGTGAAACTGGTTGTACCAAAGTTGATTTCCAGTCTATGTTATTAAACTAAACAAAAAATGTACAAAATCCTGCAATTACTGTTAATTGTCAAACTGAGCAGTTAAAGTTTCAATGCAACAATATTTACAGTTAGCTTAATTTCCACAATGCTTTTAGACTGATTTTGTGCAAGAGTGTGGTCAATATTTTCTGGAAAACGTCCACATCTTGGTTTTAAATGGTACCCAAAAGTTCCTCTACTGGAGAAGAGCACTGCAAGCAGTTACTAAATACAGACCCAAAACTCAGACAAACAAATTGAAATTAACATCAGCGAATTCCTCATTTTTGTCTGACTGTTGTCATTAAAATGTCATGTTTGCCTGTCTTTTGTCATTAAAATGAGAAAAATGACAAAACTCAGACAAACATTGCAAATTAGTCACTTTGACGTAATTCGTGTGCTACGCTATTGATAGAGTGGGAAAATTTGCTTAGAATACATTTTGTGACTTTGCTCCTTTTTATGCAGAAGATTTAAATCTATTGCATCAAGCTGGGAAAGTCATCAAAGGACAGAACTCAGGTTTGGCTTTCATTCTATCTTCTTAGACTGTTACAGTGAGTGTTGTCTCTGTCACTTGTGTTGTCCATGTGACGGGTGTTGTCTCTGTAACTTGTGTTGTCCATGTGACAGGTGTTGTCCCTGTAACTTGTGTTGTCCATGTGACAGGTGTTGTCCCTGTAACTTGTCTTGTCCATGTGACAGGTGTTGTCCCTGTAACTTGTGTTTTCCCTGTGATGGGGGTTGTCCTTGTCATGGGTGTTGTCCCTGTGACGGTTGATAAGTGATGTCCCTCTAATCTCTGATAGGTGTTATTGTGACAAGCATTGTCCCTGTGACTAGCGCAGTCCCAGCTACAGATGGTATCAGTGTGACAGGGGTTCTCCTTGTAACAGGTGTAACCCCTCTGATAAGTGTTGTCCCTGTAATGAATGCTGTCCCTGTGATGGGTGTTATCGGTGTATTAATTTTATTTATGTGTCTCACAGTCTGTCGGCACATACAGTAATGTATGTACAAAGACGAGACATGTGGCCTTAAACCACTGACTGTAGTCTCCACGGAATTTTTAACTACCAGTTATCTCATACTGTCTGAATGAATCTGCATGTGGTATTGATCACTGCAGCTTACTTGTCAATCATTCAATACTTCTCAGGAATTTGTTGAATGAGAATGCTCAACTGAAGTATAAAGAAAAGGAGCTACTAGAGAAACTTGAAGCCCAGCAAAAAGGATTTGATACCAAGCAAACAGTAAGTTTGGTGAAAGGCATTTTATAACTTTGTGTGGCAGAAGTTGGCCACCCATGGAAAGGGAATAGGAAGCTTAAGCAAAGTCATTTTTTTAGCGACACGTGTGAACTGGAAGTGTGGGCTTTTCCTTTTAAAGTCCCTTGGCTTTACAGGGACAATTTTTTTTTTGTCCAAAAAAAAATGGTGCAGAACCACTGGCCAAGAATACAAAAAGTCTATCTCTTGTTGACATGTGTCACCCAAGAATTGAGTTCTCTATTATTATCCCTGAGTGGCAATAGGCAGGGAGGGAGGGGTGAGGGCCTCTAGTTCAAAAGAGGGGCTGGGTGGGTGCGGATAAGAAAAAAAAAAAACTTTCCCAGGGGATACATGAATGTTTTCTGTCAGGTCACTAATGGATCTTTAATTTATTCACAAATAATTTATTATTTTACCGCAGTTGTCACTTCTGATGGTTTTGTTTGTTCATGTATTTTAATATTTTTTTTATTATTATTATTTTAGGAAATTCATCAGTTGAAGGCAAGAATTTTCACTTTGGAAAATGAGCTAGATAGACTGAAAGTTCAAGCATTAGAAAAAGAACAGCTGTCAAAACAGGTAAAATGGGTGTCATATTTTGTCTTTGTACACAGTAAGAAAATTTTTATCTTAATTATAGACAGAGGCAGGCGCAGTTTTAAAAAAGTGCTGCAAGAGAAGTATACCTTAAATTTATGATAACAATAGTCAATACATCATTGCTTCTAAGCAAAGTACTGTTATTTTTCCTTTTGTCTTGAATTTTTGACAACTTTGATGAGTTCCAGTAATTAAATGCAGAAGAAACTTCAAGACGTCCTGAAGGTGGAGCAATGTGTACTTCCTTTGAAATAGCATTACTCTGCCTCTAAAATGTTGTGTACACGTTGAGCACATTGTGTTAGCTTTTGAATATTTTGTCAAATTACCCGTACACCCTTCAAAGCTTGGTCATGCACAAAAGGCAAAATTCAAGACTGACAGTTTTTGGCGAAAACTTCCCCCTCCACTTAACCACTCACTTTAATTGCCTCCTTCCTCCATGTTTTTTCCTTGGTTTTGTTTTGTTTTGTTGGTGTTGTTTTGTTTTTTATTTTGGTTTGAATGATTCTGTCCCCCTGCACAAGTTGGGCATGAAAGTTATCCGTGCAATTAGAATTCTTCACAATTTTTGGTAGTAGGGACTCAGGTCTTCAAGGGTGGTTACAGGCATTTAAGGTGTGAATGTGCTAAAATATTCTTACTTTAACACAGGTCAATCAACTTGTGATGGAACTTTTAATAATGGGTGAGCTTAACCAGCAACAAAAAGACACTATTCAGAAATTAACCCTTGCTGAGGGACAGAATCCTGAAAGCAGTATGCATTTACATGGCTGTCATAGAGAATTAGGGGGTAAGTAAGCTTATCATTATCTGTAAATGTGTATCTTAAGTCTAGAACTGGTCTTTTGTTCATGTCCCCAGGGCGCAAAGAAAGTCTAGCCCCATGTTATTTCAACTAGCCCCAAAAACTTTTTGATGAGCAGAATTATTTCATAGTTCATCTGTAATTTGAATTCCTCAAAAAGTCATCAGGATTTTTGAGAAATGGCTTCCAAGGCCCTCTATGTGTGTATGCACGTGTATGTAGCCATGGTCAAAAATGTTTTTTTTCCTCTTCCAGTTGCAAAGCAAACATTGAAAAAGCAGAAAGCTGAACTAGATGCATTAACCTCCAAACTAGCAGAAATGGAAACACAAATCTCCAACAAGGTGATGTGTAAAATAAAAATTTAATTAATTAATTAATTTATTTATTTACATAATTAGTGAAATGAAGTAAAATATTAGTCTTTTGAAAGTGAAAACAGTAGTTATACTTGTAAGAACTGTTATGTTACGTGTGTTCCATCCATTTTGAATTATAAAGTCATTCATTCCTCCTTTGTGGTATAAAAGCCCAGGTTGTTTGTTATCCCAACATAGCTTTCAATTGGCTATCAGAGTGTGGCATGCTTTCATATTTTTCTTTTAGATGTTTAGTATTTATTTTCCATTTCTTATATTAATTTCTTATTTGAAAGTCATACCAGTTCTGTCACCCTTTTCAGGATTTTGAAATAAGAGAAATGAAAAAGTTCACTGAGGGATTAAAAGGAACATATGCTGGGAAGATACAGGTGAAGTTATGTCTAAAAAATAATGATTATTTTGATAATGCCTCAGAGGACTTAGCAGGGAACATCCTCAATCTACATAATACAGTCAAACTTTCATGCGCAACCACCTCTGATAAGTAACCACCTGCAATAAGCAACTACCTGTCCAAAACACCAAAATTTTCCCAGTCAAAGCCTTATTTCCTCGCAAAATATCTTTGAATAAATTCATGTTTAATACAGCTCAATCAGCTTTAAACAACGTTTGCTAGTGGAAGTGTCATGAAAAAGGTATTAAGTTAAATACTTTTCTGGGAATGTATATAGTCATCCTCAGTAGTGTAGTGGTAGGGGTAAGTTGCACCAAACAGGAGGTGCGGGGTTCAATCCCCAACCAATTACCCATTTTCTTTCTTTCTTTCTTTCTTTTTTTGTTGTTGTTGTTTTGTTTTGTGTTTTGCTTATTTTTTTGTTTGTTCGTTTGTTTTTATGTATTTTCTTTTTCCTATTGGCTTCTTTCCATTTCTTCCTACTTATGGCCCTTAGCATCTGCTTCGCAAGGCTCTGCGATTGACGTATTTCTTGTAGTACTGTTGGAATGCTTTGTAAACGACCACCTCCTATGAGCGACCATTGCCGCTTTTTGGGGAGAGACGGCTCTTTGTATGCTGTATGTCAATGCTACTTTGATTAGTACATAAAGAACTTTTTGAGACAATATGAAAATACTTGTATGTACGGCAACATAGAAATTGCATGCAATAAATTATCTTCCATAAAGTAGTTGTGTCTGGACCTCTTCTCAAAAGAGACACCCTGTGGTTCGACTCTTATAAGTGACCACTTCCTGTAAGCAACCACCAAAGTCTTTGGATTTTAGGTGCTCATTTATAGGAGCTTGGATGGTAATTAAAGATTAAATATTCTTTGTATCATACTCAAACTCATCCAATGAAAAATAGTTTTATTTTTTGGTTATTAGTATATAATAACAATAATAATTTATTTATTAATCTATTTTTAGAGTCTGGAAGAAAAATATGCTGCCCAAAGGAAGGTAACGCAAGCCTTGGAATCTTACATTCTTGACCTGCAAGCTGTGGATAGTGCAAGAAGAGAGAAGATTGAGAGGGAAACAATGCAACCTGACCCTTAGTAGTTAATAAAATCTAGCTTATTTAAAACAATGATAATAATAATAATTATAATAGTAATAACTATAATTATTAATAATTATTATTTTACTGTAATCTATATTGTGTAAAGATTCCTTAATATTTTCCTGCTCCAAAGTCTACTAGAAGCCCATTGTTTGTAAATTAAATTGTAATGAGTTCAGAGTTGGTCTTTCATCAGAATAGAATAGCAAATAATGATGCCAGAATGGCTACGTTGGTGAAAACATCACTTAACAAGAGACTTCACATTCTTTGAAACTTTAGCATGATTGTCGCAACTCACTAACTTTGTTAAATGTAGGTGAACTTTCCTGGAGCTGAATTCAGAAATGTCATCATTTGTTTAGTCACGTTCTCCATGAAATGTGAAGTTAAACAGTTTCATGTCATAGTCGTGTTGTGACAGCAAAGGAATGTAAGAAAAATGTGCTGCACATCCAAAGTTGTTGTTTTGCTAACCTAAACCTATTGCTTTTTGTTGTTCTCACTGCCATTATTATTGTGACATCTTAAAGTCCCTAATGTGGGTAAGACCCGGCTGCTGTTGTATTTCACAGGCTGGATGACAGCTTGTAAATGACTGGCTCAGCTGTCAGAAAACAAAACTCTTGGTTTGATAGTCACCCTAGCTAACACACTACAGACACTATAATTTTAACTCTTTTTAACTTGTGACTGTATTACTTTATGTATTGAATTTTTTCCGTCTGGAGGCTTTCTAATCTAAAGTGAATTCATTTTAACTAGCAAAATTGTAATAGTTGTAATTTGCACCAAAATGCACAGAAACACTGAAATTTTGTTTTCTTTTGAAAACTGGTGTAAGATAAATTATTATTTTATCACAGTTAATTTTACTTCGTATAAAATCTTAGCTTTCCAGTGATAATGAAGGAGCAAGTTGCATTTCAACAATAGTTTTTGGGGGGCTCTTGTCTGGTTTACTGTTGACCCTAGATTATGTAAATTTGTCAGTTTGGAAGATTATTTCAGTTTTGAGGTGTTTATTTAAAGTTGTATTTTTAGGTCACTGGATTAATAATAATAATAATATTGATTGTGCCATAAATCTGTAAAAGTGCACCAAGAGTTCCACAGAGGCATAATATTCATGAGGTTGGAAAAGCCATTCTTTGTTGCTAAAAAAGTTTGAGCAGGCTTAAATTATGTTTCATTAATGTTGTTAGAGTTAGTTGACATGCAGCTTTGTCAAAATGTTAGGTAGAGACAAGTTATCTACAAATGGAACTCAGGTTTTTTGAAAGAAAATAATGCTGCTTTCACTGTGACGTCATACAGCATGCAAATAAAGACATGGCTAAGTTATTTAGGATATATATATAAATTATATATTTTCTATATAGTGCTTAATAAAATAATTAATATTATTTTTACTTATTATTATTATTATTATTATTATTATTTCTACATTTATTATCATAATTACTATAATTAACTTGATATATCTGACAATCTAAGTTCTCAAACATAATAAATGATTTAGTGTTAATTGGTTGGCCTTCTGCTCAAACAATACTTTTTTATCAGACAGTCAGTCAGTCAGTCAGACAGTAGCAAAATGGAGTGGTTGTGGTATACTTTCATTTGAATCTGAAAGGAAATCATTTCCATACAGGTTTAGTAGCTTTGATTTCAAAATGGAATTCAAAAACACATTTGTTGATCATGTATAGCCTTTTCTCAGTCATGGTTATTATGAATGACTGCAGCAGGTACAAAAATTAAAAGAATTAGGAGCTATATCACCGAAGAATATTGAGAAATATAACAGTGATGGCAATGAAAACATTGCTGAAAAAGTAAATTTCTGTTCTTTCAAGCTTGTTCGATAACAGAAAGAAAAAATTTTCATTAAGGTGTGTCTATTTATGAGAAATTTTCACGTTGTAGACGTGCAGTGACGGCAAAGAAATGTAGCAAAAAGTGCGATGAATCCATGCAGAGTTGTTGTGCTCATTCAGAAACTATGATATTGCTTTTTTGATATTCTTGTTGCCATTGCTGTCGTTGTCTGAGCTTCTATAGTTCCCTTTTTTATGTTGGCTTATTTCTGTACACTGTCTGGCCATGGTTATTTGTATTTATCATAAGGGTGGAATAAGGAAGACAGTGGTGATATTCGCAAAAATCATACTTGTAAAAAACAATATTCTAAGGTACGTTGTTCCTAAGGGGGAACCACGATTGTAACTTGAAACTGTACTGACAAATGGGAAATACCCTTGTATGTGATAGATAAAGAAGTGGGAAGGAATTTACTGGTAGGACAAAATTAGACCAGTAGTTGCTTGCCATGCAGTATTTTTATTTTATTGTTCACTGCACAGCATTAACTTTAAAAATAAATAAACGATATGTGAAAACTCCTGGCCTGTTGTGCTTTTCTTCATGAACTAACAGAAAGCTCTTGCAGGAAGTCTTAGGACGTCATGACAATCATGAATTATTGATGATTAATGAAATGTTGCTACTAATGAATTGCAATTCTGATGATAAGCTTCAATTTCAACCACCTTTGATTGTGTGGTGAAGAAGACTTCTGCTTACATTGACTTTTGAGTGCAGGATTTCTGCATTTAAAAAATGGTGTCCTCAGATTCTGTCCTAGTGCCCTACCAAACACTTCTTGGAGTTAATTTGCATGAATGCACAAAACTGCCTTGTGGAGTCGTGGATGTTTTGACTAGTCAGTTGAGTGGAGATCAGGCCCAAGCCTGGCAAGAAACTTTGCAATTGCTTCATACTGCCTACAATCTTGGACAAAAATGTTAAGAAAAAATAGACGTTTCCACGTCTAGTTTCAAAGTAAAGCCCTTGAAAGCAGTGGCTCCTACAAAATACTCCCCTTGTCCCCCCAAAAAGACAATGTTGAAGTTTTGCTGGCTCATTTCTGACCTTGACCAAACAATATTGACTAGGGTGGGGTGAGGGAAGGGGTCATAGTGGTACCAAATCTAAGGGATAGGCGATCTTATTACTTTTTATCCAAGACTGTAGTTCCCTACTAGTGTGTACTCTAAGTATAATGCTGTAGGAAACCATGTGACTGACTCACTGCTATCACAGTTGTGGATAATTTACACCCTAAACGTGTCTTGCATTAGAGAATAGTAGGGGATATAAACTCTAGCAATGTTGGCTACCTGTGGCTCAAGAGTACTTTTTCCTACACCCCTACAGCCAGGATGAACAATAGGGGAGGGGTGGTTGCATCTCTATTTTGGGTATGCACATGGTGAATAGGGGCTTGGAGAGGCAGTGGTGTTTATCCACCCCCCGCTACCTTGTCAAACCCCTTTGTGCTCATTTCTCTAACCTGTTCCAGGCATTCGGAGATTAAAAAGAGTGACAAAGGAACTTTCGAATTGTCCTTGTTTTTGTTTTTGCTGTTATTTTTTCTTTTTTTCATCTGCTTTATTTTTCACTGGCTCTTCACTGTATAGTCTACTTTGCAGTGCTTTTTAGGGTCTTCATGCATTGCTCCACCACAGGAGGGGAGGAGCATTGCATGATGACCATAAAAACTACTGCAAAGGAGACTATTCACTGTCTGAGTGCCTGAAAGAGCCCACTAACTTTTCCAGCTGCTTAGATTAGAGGCTCAGTGATCAAGACATTAACAAAGCTTTCTGATGCCACTGAGACCTGGTCAGGTCTGTTTGGTACAGTAAAATAGAGTACGTTACTGGCTGTGGGTTAATTCCACTCTGTTACAACACAAATAGTACGGGTACATTA